CTGATAAGACAAATTATGGCAATAATTATCTCCATAGCAACAGGTTTGAATAAAGGACATGCTGTGCTGTTCGTTATACACACAGCTACTGTTAGACGTCAGTGTTTCCTCCTAAATTCTGCCCATAAAATTCAGGTGATTTGTTCCAAGATTAGTTTGGGTAAGAAAGCCCACTTTTTCTCTTTTTGGGGGATAGATATTATTTTAAATTATTCGCAAGCAAAAGGTAGACTCTCTCACCTACAAATTACCTTCAAGTTCTAATTTATTTCTCTGCTTTTTGAAATACAGAGAAACTGTAACTATGGCTACTTGGCAAGAACAAATACAACATAAAGGATGTAAGAAGTCAACACATAGTGCCACCTACTGTCAACACTGAACTCTGGTTTTAGATGAACAACTGGTGTGAACATCAAACGTGATACAATGTGCTATGTCCAAAAGTACTCAGTGCAAATGCCAGCTTAACTTTGAAGCACTCAACCAATGATGACATAATTATGTATGCAACTCAGATCATCTGACAGCGAAAAAATAACGGCAATTCCAGTGGAGACAGAACTTTTAAACATTCTATTGGAGAGAACGAATGTGCTCAGTGAAGAAGAAGGCAAATCAGATGCAAATATCCTCAGGTAAGGCCATGATGATTATGTCTCCCCTTTAAACTCAAAGGCACACACAAGATAGATGTGTCTAACTTATCAAATATATTACATTTGTCTCTAGCAAAGACAAAATAGTTCTACCGCAATGATTAATCTACCATTCCAACAATGGGGACCTGAGGAGCCCACAAGCCAGTGTTGGCTAGCATTCATAAGCCCCATTCCCCAAGTGTTCCCTACCTGCTTAAGTTCACAGAAGAGTCCATGTTTTCAACAGAATACAGAAACTACCCTTGTTGTTTGTGAAAAGCATAAACAAAATAAAACTTTGCAATCTTGTGGCTATCTCAGGATCTCAAATTTCACTGCTACAGCAAAGGTGGAGGACTGTATTCTAGCTTTAGATGATGTTCCTGTATTACCATTATTGACATTCTTTTGCAATCAGAGATCAATGCAACCCGCAGAAGGGTCTGCAAATAGTGGCACTACCACGGCCTGGGGAAGGAACGTTCTCGGCCCCACACTATATCCACTGAGGCCGAATCATGGGGTTCTGGCTCAGGCATTTATTTCCACAAGCTCTGAGGGCAACAGCTAGGTACGTACTGGTTTTAACAATGAGAGGAGATGTTCTAGTAAGACAGCACGCATTAAGCAACAGTAGTAATTTTTTTTCTTCCCAGTGAAACTAAGATTTAAAAAAATAGTTACTCACAAACTAAATGTTGACATCCACAGAAGAAACTGTGTTGGTAAGCAACCTTACAGGGGTAAGGGAGAGCCCCTTCCAGCTGGGGAGACCAAGAGGTGAGGGGCTCGCCCTTGCTGTATCACTATACTACAGCACTGGGACTACAACACAAATGCATTCCAATGTTTGAGGTATAATGTTGGTATAATTAGCACACCTGCTATTGTCTTTTGGTATAAATACTTACACAAAGATATCTCAGTAATTACTATATCTGACATAAGGGTTTCCTGGGCAGATGCAACGTGTAGACTTATTTTCTCACACACACACACACACACACACACACACACACACACACGCATATACACACACACGCATACACATGAAAAAAAACCCACTGATTCCAAGACAAAATTTTTACTTATAAATGAAATGCAATATGGACGCACAAACTGGAGATGCCAACTAAACAATGACCAAAAATAATGGACCGCTGAACTGCAGCTATAGGTTCAAGCTTCAAGACAGAAAACCAAACCAAAACCAAACTTTGCCAAACCAAGCCAGAGCAGAAGAAAATAAGGCAGTCCTTCCTCTAGAAACAAAGCTCTCTGAATAATACTAGTCTGGAAAATATTAGTAAAAAGAAATTTAAAACAGTGTTTTTCTATTATAGCTCTATAATACAATCAGAAAAACTTGTACCATTTTAACCTGCAAACCCCGAAAGTTTGCAGTGCAACAGACATAAATGAAATCATTATGTGGTGAGTTTTACCAATTTAAAAATTGGGACATATAATTATCTCTCTTGTGGCTATTTTATTTCCCAGCAGTATTTTTCTTAAATAAATACTTCATCTGTAGCATTCTCTTCTGAAGACGAAGAAAACCATTGTGGTCAATGAGGACATTTTGATATTTTTCTTTACTCATTTTTCCATGAAGAGCAGTCCTAATTTTAATGATCAAATCTTTTTATTTTTCTCTTTTACTAGGCATAATAAAAGCTTTTATCAAATCCTGATGATTAGTAATTATTTCATTAATTGGGTAAAATATATTAATATAAATATATATATGTATATATATATATATATTTGTCCTTCCTGACAACAGTCTCTAGACAAACTGGATTCATTTGTTTTGTATTAAGTGAAGCATAAAGATAAATAGCTGCTGTTTCAAGTAACCCGAGGGAAAATTAAGAATGATATGAGATAAAAATAATACTAAAAATGCATGTTGTTTCAAAAGAAACATTTGTTGAGGCTTAGTTTTGTTTTGTTTTGCAGTGCAGGGGATTGAACTCAGGATCTTGCGCTTGCCAGGTAAGCGCTTATTCTACTGAGCTATCTCCCTAGCCCTGAAGCTTTTTTTTTTTTTTTTGGCTGGTTCAAGCTGCCTTAAGGACATGTGTGATGTGGCACATGGAGCTGGGGATCAAACTGCAGTCCTGAAAGCCTGACTGGGTTTGCCCCAGCAGGCACTTAAACCACTGAGCTAACTGGCAAGCTCCCCCGCCCCCAGGCTTGGTTATTGACCGAAAGAGAAAAGTGCCTCAGTTAATGTTAAGGGAAAATGGAAGTATCTACAATTTAAAATGTCTACAATTAGTGTATTCTACACTTGGTGTATGAACCAGTTCTACCACACCAAACTGAGTTATTTATGAATGCTGCTGTCCTGGTAATAGAACTGCATATAAAAATGTAAAGAATAAATACAAACAAGCTATTTATTTCAATAAAAAATTGATATTCTATAGAAGCAGAAGCATTTTTTACAAAGGAAGTCTTTAGAGACTTTGATGGATAATGCAAGTTGTATTACACTAGCATTACTCTAGGATATAATCAAAAGCTGGCGAGATCTGTGTGTGTGTGTGTGTGTGTGTGTGTGTGTGTGTGTAGTTGTTGCCCAAGTATAATAGTTCATACAATATTTATCTCATTCAAGAATAAATTTTAATTATTAAATTACATACTTGTAAATAATTTATGGTTCTTTTCAAACCATATCATTGACAAAAATAAAATGAAAATGTTAATATTAAAAAATACATCGTGTTGCATAAAAAGTATTTTGAAATTTATGTGATAATTTCTAAGTCTGCTACAGATCATCAAAATCAGCAAGTAGACTCAGCAAATAAGGCAGAGTAGCTTTCTTATAAACAGCTTTGTAAAATATTTTCCAAACAGCAGGTGGCAACCTTTGTAAATCTGACTGCAGCAGAGCTGTCTTACTTCAATATAGGTAGATGAAAGACAGTTCATAGAAGACCAGTTAAGAGACTTGATATGCTAAAGCTAAGCCCGGTTTAGATAACTTCAAATAGTAAGAGTCTTGTTTAATCATGCTTTACTGTGCTAATGAAATTCTCCAGGGGCAAGATGAGTGTTTTTGTTTCATGCTTCTTAATACTTCAGCAGCACAGGAAGAACTCCACAGTGCTAAGCTATGCAGGTATCCTCATCAAAATCTCACACGCTGTTTATCCCTTATCACTTCAAATTCATATGGCCGGAGGAATTAACGAGACTAATTTTAGATCTTAAATTCGAGCTACTTCTTAGTACTCTTAAAATCCTGTTTCTTCCAGTATTCTTAGTATGGAGCAGTGAGAAATGTTTAGAATTTTAATTATAGGGAAATAAAAAGTTTTGACTTCTGTTTTCTCTCTCTTATGCTATATTGGCTTCTAAATTGACGTAGTCATGCGGTGACAGAAATGCAGAGCTTTTGAAACTGAAGAGCACCCCAGTAATCTGCACCCAGCAGCACCTACCCACCCCACCATGTTCCTAGCCAGAGCAGGCAGCAGCTCACCGGCAGAGTGCCAAGCAGCGACTACAATCTAACTGAACACTCAAGCTCTCTCAAGTCAGCCTGCTCCTCTCTATCGCATTATAAAATAAGAAAATTCTATCCTATCACTTTTTTTAGTTGGGTTATAATAGTGTTGCTTAATATCATCCTAAAATCATGATTTTTACTGTGTTCTCAGTGTGCCAATATTTAATGGAATGTATGTATTATTAAGAAAGTCTTTTAATGATCTTCAAAAGCACTGTAATCTGCTCTATAATCTGTACAATTCTATCTGCATTCTTTGCTATACTTCTATGTAAATTTCCTAACACAGCAGCACTTCAGCTCCTTCCCTAGTAACAAAGTCTTTATGCTTTCGCTGTAAAATGTGTTGCTCATTGCGATTCCCTTTTACAGTGGAAATTGGGGCAAGGACAAGTTAATGAAGCTGTCCAAGGTCATGCGTCAGGCTGACATTCATGAACAACAGAACTTAAGAGTCTGGATTTTAACACCATGCTTTCGTGTTCTTAGCTATTTAACACATCTTTCTGTTTCTCATATGTACGGTCTTGGGCAATTAGCATAATATTCTCAATAAACAAATCTTTCTTAACATGTTAGGAAAAAATAACCTATTTTAAACCATATCCAGGGTTTTACAAATATTTCACAAAGCTGTTAGGAAACAAGTAAGTCCTATGGAACTATTCTGTGACACAGCATGGAAAATATCCCCTATATTCTAGAAACAGGTAGCTGTTGGCCAGTTACCACTAGCAATGCTTTCACTGAGGAATCCTGCCCTTGTCCAATGATACTTGAACTCCTGTCCAGGCCACAAGCGTCTACACGGGACAATTTCAGTGCACTCTTACCGGGGCATCGCTGCTCACTGCACCGCCTGACCTCTTCACCAGTCCCTTCGCACTGCTGCCCTGTGATCGCTGCCCCCTGGCAGGTCCTCATTCTCCTCTCCCAGCCGCCGTCACACGACTTGGAACATCCGCTCCAGTGGCCCCACTGATTCCACTGCCCGTTGGCTGAAAGAAACGTGTCTGCGTCAGCAGTGCCTGCCCATGGCCTCCTGCTCCTGGAATCTGAGGACATTATCTTTCTTCACTGTTCATTAATCCACCCTCATGAACACGCACTACTCAAATATTTGACTTACTGGTCAGGGGCAAAGCGGGGATGAGCAGATGCTTAGATAATCGGGCCTGACTTCTCAAATATACATCACTGAACCTTACCTGTAAAAAGCGCAAGTTGAGTGTGAAAGGTCATGAACTATGCTTTCTCTCCTAGTCTGATGGGTTCTGCTACTTCATTACTATGGTATATACAGAATAATTAGCTATGTTCATACAAAATACGAGGCCTGATTGAAACCTACAACAAGACACTGCCACGGGCTCTCCTCAGAATCCTGCCTCTTGCTTCCCACACTTATTGCCGCCATTTTTTCCACTTTCTGAAGCAGTTCTGAAAGTCTTAGTTTGTGTCTTTTTGAAGTATGACAAAAACAATATGGTGAATTCCACTGTTGAGTGTCAGGCAACGCAGAGGCAGGATCCTAAAAGGATCAGGATGAGGCCTCACACACCCTACTAATTGGTTCTGGCAATCTTCCTCTTCTGGCCCTTCCTCAGTGTCCAACAAAGATAAATGGTTTTCACCACTACAGGCCGTCGGCGCAGCCAGGACAGCCCAACTAAAGACACTCCTGAAGGAGGACTTCCAGATGGCTTCAGAAAGTGGTAAGAAGATGCGCTGAGTGTCTTCAAAGGCAGGAGGAGGTCAGGAGGAGGTTAATGGCAACATGTCTTCCATTGGAATAATTGTTGAAAATGTAAATCTTCGCCGCATTCTGTCCCTCTGGCATGCAACCTCCTGAGCACTGTGTGAGCGTCTGGGGCGCCGGGCTCGCCATACCTGTGCACTCCGGGTTGTAGCACTCTCTGCTCTCTGCCCAGGGCCCGCGGCACTCCGAGCCTCCATGCGCCGCTGCGGTGCACTGCCGGCTTCGCTGCTGGGTCCCGTTGGAGCAGGTCACCGAGCACTGGCTCCAAGGGCTCCACTCCTGCCACTGGCCGTCAACTACCAAGCAGAGAGACAGAAAGCAAGCCAGCATGAATAGATGCATCAACAGGGAGGCCACACAGACAGTGTAGAGCCCGAGAACACATGTTGGTCAGGGATTCTCATTGCATGTATGGAAGGGCGCAATGGCATGAGATATTATTATCGTCCCCCAAAATGACCATTTTCTTCTTTTGTCTTATTTCCTCCTCCCTCCCTCCTTCCTTCCTGCCTCACTCTGCCCCGCTCCGTCTCTCTCATCCTTTCTTCTTTATCTCTCCCTCCCTCCTTTTCATATTTTCTTAGATTTCTTATTTCTTCAAACACATACATGGGAAGCTTTGAGCTAAGCATTAGGACATAGAAGAGTGAACAAAATAAACACTGGGCAATGCATCATAGAGCTCATTTTCCAGAGCAGGAACCCCTAAAAACAAACAAGCCATTACAGGCTAAATGAATTGATTATACGGTACACTGCAAAGGACAATTTCAGGACACTGTGAGTTAAGAGCTCAGAGGGACTATGGAGTCTTCCTTGATAAAGTGCGATTTCCGAAAGCCCTGCAGAATAGTGACATCCTTCTGACCGAGGTGCTCTACAGAAGGGTACACAAAAGCTCTAGGCGGAGGACACAGGGACACTTCTAGGAGTGAGACAGGGCCACATGGACAGGCTCTGCAGAACTGGGTAGAGAGGTAGCAGAACAGGTTGGTAAAAAGGCAGGGGCCACCTTGTGCAGGGCTGTGTCAGCTGGGTTGAGAACATGGGCTGTTGCTCTCAGGTCACTAGGAGGCCACTGCACTGCAGGATTAAAATGGGAGATGCTATGATCAGCTGGAGTGCAAATTAGCAAAGCATCATGGGAGAACTGGGCGGGCAGGCGCTCTCATGAGAATGCAGTAGTGAAATGTCCTGGGGGAAATGAAAAAGCCAATAGGAAGGCACAGCTGAGAGGAATTTCTGAAGGAAAGACACAGGGAACAGAAGCAGAGAGGAGATCGAGTCCTTCCCAGAATTCCAGGGTCTAATGACTAGGATTTATTAACAAAGACTCCGAAATTGACTTGTTTCTCTGAGATTCAAATTGAGATTCATTTATCTGCTCATGCATTGAAATGATTGTTAGAAACTGTTACCAGATACACGTGAGTGTCAATGAGAGATACGGAAATAAAAGTATGTAAAGTATATCAGAATGGTGAGATTTGGATAATTTAGACAAAAATGACATCACCAATAAAGGATGAAGACAAATGTCACAAAATAATAATAAGCAAAGGAATCAATCCAGTATTCACTATGAAATAAACAAAGGACTCAAGCACATTTACTATGTTGAAATCCACAAGCTAGCATATAAATAGACTCTTTTCTGGCTGTTTATATTTTTGAACATCATTCATGGTTCTAAGTCAATTTGATCACACGTAAAGCAGAATTCAAGATAAATCCAAAGTTTTGATGTGAGCTACTGTTGCTGTAAAACTCATGCCAACAAACAAGAAAGCCTGACAGAACATAAGTACTTTCAAGCTAATTTCAAACCTCATCTATAGTTATTAAAAAGAAGTTGTCTAATAGGTATCTAGCTGTCGTTAATAAACACTTCGTGTGATTAAAAAAAAAAAAAAAAACCCGACAAAATGCCAGTTCAATCATCCTGTCTATGTAATGTTAGCACCTCACTCTATTAAAAGTATTTGACACAATATTATTAGCTATTCAATATATTTTCTGGACAAAAGTAAAATTCTAGTGAATGAATAGATCATTTTAAATTACCCATTTACCCTCTACTTCGGCTTTAAACAGGAGTGCATTTTTCATTTTAGAATTTTGCTTTTCAAAGATATCTATTGAGCTTTCATTATGAACCCTCATTATTCTAAGCAATTTGAAAATAGTTTATAAAATATAATTCATGCCTTACATTTTACAATTTACATGGCAAAAGAATGTACAGGTATGCACATTATTAAGAATAGTCACAAAACAGAACAGGCAGATGAATTCAGGGATGCCAGCATCTTACTAGAAGAAAGAACTCTGTGATGCCCTAAAGGTGCTCACGTGAGGTGACTTTGATGTGTATTTTGCCCTGACTTCAGCAGTTACACACTCACTGGCAAACAACGGAGGGAAAGCATTCAGCTAAGAAGACATGGAGTCTAGAAACATCAAGTCAAATGTGGACATTTCAAAGAGGATTTCTTAGCAGAGCACTTCATTTCTATAAAGAACAAGAAAGATCTTGCTAAAAAATAAAATTTAAATTAAGATACATGAGAATATCCATTTGTAAAGGGTTTAGTTTGCTCATCTGGCTTTTCCTGAAAGATGACTGTCTTACTTTTAGTAAAACAAAACAAAACCATATGACAACAACAAAACAATTTAAAGACTTTAAAGCCATACATTCATAATAATAGCTTTTTAGTCCTTTTGATGATATACATAACCTCTGCTTCATCTGAAATTCAGAAATGAGTTACTGTTAGAAATCTGGGAGATAATTTGAAGTTAAACACAATTATAAAATCAAAACACATATGAGATGTGGTTTTGTTTACAAAGTCATTCACAGAAAAGAAATAACAACGACAAGTGTATCAAGTGAATGCTGTTGGCTGTTTTATTTTATTGTATTTTTATTGTTATTATTATTATTAGTAGTAGTAGTATCATTTTTGTATTTTAGGGAAGGGTCTACAGGGTGTTTAGGGTCGATTACTAGATTGGACTCATAGTGATCCGCCTGTTTACAGCCTCCCAAGAGCTGGGATTACAGGCATGTACTACCATACCCAGTCTCCACTGCTGTCTCAGGTGCCCCAGGGGTGGGACCGGCACAGCAGGCCCAGGGATCAAAACCCCGGCCCCTGCACCAGCTTGCAGGTGCTTTAATCTGCTGAGCCACTGGGCTGGCCCAGCTGTTTTATTTTATACCAAGAACTGGAAAGTCCTTTTATTAAATTAAGCACACTACTTTGCAAGAATTGACCTGACAAAGTAACTCATTCAGTGCAAGAACAGAGGACAAAACCTCAGGATTCAATACATAGCCCCTTCTGTGGTAAAAACAACTTAATGTTCTAGTGGAAAACTAAGAAGTCAGAAGGAGATTCTACAGTCATAGTAGAATTCCCCTTAGAGTTGATGTAAGGGTTTTTTCTTTTTTAAATATTGCATTGCTTTAAGGGCCTCAGCCCCCATGTATTACAGAGGTGGTGTGTCATTCTGCTGAATGGAAAAAATGGAGACTAGGAAGGTTTTCGAAGGTGAAAATGAAGTTCTGACTTGGAGATAGAGACAGCTCCAAGTAGGATACTGGCCTTATCATTCAGAGATGTTGAGATATTTAAGAATAAAAACCATTTTTCGTGCATTCGTCTAGCACTGAACCTAGCATTCATCTAGGTTGTCCAGGAAGCAAAGAACCGGCTTACATCTCATATTTATTGTCTACCTGGCGAGCCACGGTGTGGCGGAAGCCACTTCCCTCCAGCCACATGCAAGTGTGGCACGTCCTTGGCTTCACTCTGAGCCCCTCCGCCCCCAGCACCAGGCCTGGGTGTCAGCTGACTGTCCCACATTTATAGGTGTGACGGCCATGGCATGGCAAACACACGGCTAGAATTCAGTACTTTTGCTCTTTGTTCTTTGGTGTTTATCAAAGAAAAAGTAGCTGGATAAGTTAAGCATATTAGCACTCAGCTACCCACTTTAGAGCCTAATAAAACACTAAGAAAGGAACATTTAGAGATAACTGAGCCTGTGACTTGACTTGTTCCTCTAGATGCTGGGGAACTGTGACAGTGATGCCTGACTAAGCCCTATCCTTGGAGTCTGGTAGCAATGGGTAGGCAGATGATGAACAGGTAAACAAGTAGTTAAACAAGAGTTTCACCCAAAGGTGTGATGAAGCCAGGATAATAAAGGGGGCGATGTGGTGGGGAAAGGCACCATCACTAGAAAGCAGAATATTACACCTGAGTTGGAATTACCAGAATGTTCAAGGCCAAAGCCCAGAGAAACTGCAGTGCAACAGCAGAGTCTTGAGGTTAAGAAAGCCTGCCCGTTCTGGAAAAGAAAGGATGCTTGACTTTTGGAGGTCAAGAAAGGGGAACCTGAGAGGACATGAATTCACCAGCTATGCCCAAGCCACAACTTGCAGCGAGTGCCCTGAAGGTCCTGTGATCTAGGAACCGGTGTAGCCATCATAGGACTTCGATGGAGGAAAGTGATAGAATTCATATCTTAAAACTTAATTTTGTTGGGCTGTATAGGCGCAAGAATATCAGAATATACTTGGGGTTTAAAGTGTCTTCTGCACAAAGCTAGTGTATATTGGATTTAAAGGTCATCCATGGGCATAGAAAGAAATAGAGGAAGTCATGATCTTTTCTGGATTTAGATCTGACAGGTTGGTGGCAGGATGGGAAAAAAAAAAGAATCAGGGTGACATTTTGCTTCATCAAATAGGTAAAGGTAGGATCCTTTTTAAAAACTGGGTTAGATTAGTGTTCTCCTTTCATGAGGTTGGATTTGGAATGCCATTTCAGAATGGCATTCAACGCAGGAGCTACTGCTTTAATCAAACCTTGCTTAAACTGCCTTCCTACTTTTTAAATGCATTGTTTTTTAAAGGTACAACTATCCATTGCTTAAAATAGCACTTCATTTCTACATAAGTTCACAGACTGAAAGTGAGAGACAGGGTAAGATACTCCATGCAAACGGAATCCGACATAATTCGGGAACAGCTATATTTACATAAAATAAAATGGGCTTCAAATCAAAAGCAACAAAGAGAGACAGGGAGGATCGTTACATATTGATAAACGAGTCTGCAGTATTCAGAAAAAGGAAATAACAAGCTGAATTATAAATGCAGCCAATATCATAATACCCACTCTTATAAAGCAAACATTAATAGATTTAAAGGGAGAGACAGAATCTAATACAATACGAACTGGAAACTTGACTACCTCACTCTCAATAATAGGTCGATGCT